CTTTTTTTTGTCCCCCTGCGGCTGCGGCCACCGTGATTTGACTGCCATCCATCCCGTTACCCAACACTGAGCGCGGGATGTTGCACACTGAGGACAGCCTGCTCCAGACAAAGAAGCCAGTCGGTTCAAACTCGACATTTACATGACAATAGGAGTTCCCATGCTGGGCAGACGGAGGAAAGAGAGACTGCATTCCTGTGCAAATAGTATCTGAAAATAACACTAGAAGAGGATTATCACATGATAGAGGTAAAATAATGATTTATCAACGCCCACTTAGTAGCTTTCCTCAAACTGTGCAACATCCGCAAATTCACTTGTCACGTACATCTCCCTTTAGGGCGCAATCTGGAAGAACCACCGCCCAGACTGGCATTGCTCGTTCACCCAGGTCGCAAAAACCAAGTTCAGCCAAACGATTTCAAAATGCATCCCACAATACTCAGACGAGCTGTTAAACGCCAACAGCACCGTGAACGGGTTATGGCAGCATTTCAATGAACAGACGCCTGCAGCTCGACCAAAGGCAACAAAGGAAATCGGCCGATATGCATCAACGTGTGCGCTTCAGACAAAGACGCACCACACACGCCTTCCCTGCGGTCTCCTTACACCCTGCTCTGAGCTTTTTAAATGCCAAACAAGCAGAATTCACTTAGATAAAGTCACATTATTTTGTCTTTTGTCCTTGGTTATCTGTTTGGCACATCTTTACCTGATCATATCTCTAACATCCAGACAGTTTTACTTCATTAAACTGCATAGAATAAAGCACAAAGGAGTGAAATCATTTTCTGAACAGAACTTACCCAAGTGCTAGCGGGAGCCTGAAATGTCTCTGGTCCGTGCGTTGCAGTAGTAGTGGCGCGTCTTTGCGCAGGCATTAGATATAGTCAGGAATATGCTAATGACATTTGACATCACCAGATCCCATCCTCCATATCCCCCTGGTGGAGAGAGACGAAATCTCCATCCTCCATTAACCTGAAGAGAGAAACCGCTGAAATAGGCCTTTTATTACCGTCTAGTGGGAAAACTAAATACGAATACCTGGTTTCTATTGGTCTGTTTAACATTCTATTTCTATTCTCTGGTATTTTATCTGTGCTTTACTGTCAGCCACATGGTGCTGCCCGGTGCACTCTTATCATTATGTGACATTACATTAACACGACTGTTTTGCTTAAACTGAGCTCTTAGCTACACTGCATTTGATATTAAAATGTCTGTTGTGACTTAAATTGCACAAAACGCGTCCTTCTTCATTTTCTGTCTGTAGCTGTTCTGGCGGTGCGTTGATGGAGGTCGGGCGCCCCCTAGTGGTAGTTTAACATTCATCCTTATAAATACATCATTTAATACATCACTCCCTTCACGCAGCGTCTCCGTTGTCATGTATTTAAAGATCAAGTTTGAGAACATTTAAGACATTTCTCCAGTTATTTTATACTTGGACTTTCACCTTCCAGACGTTCTGAGGATTTGCAATCATCTGCCCTAAGTGTAAGCAAAGTAACTGTCAAAGTGACCAAATTACAACTTCCCTACAGCAACAAACTAAGCATTTGTGCACACTGGTATGAGGCAGCACAACAAACTGCATTTCATTTCAACACCTCTCACTGTGTTGCACTGGTTGCCAATCTTAGCATATGGTCCACCTGATTAAAAAGAGCTTTAAGCCACATGTTAGTATGTGCAAAACCCAAAACACACTCCAGTTTAGTGCCTCTGTGGCTCTCAGACTCAGATTCAAACACAGACTTTATTGATCCCAAGAGTGCAATTCATTTGCAGCGTACTACATGACAAACACGCAGAAACAAACAGGTCGATGTGCCGGTGATGGACAGCAGAATAAAAAGCTTGGTAAAAGAAACAAACAAATAAATAAACATTATATAAAACAATCATTAAACACTGCTGTTTAAGTTTAGTAGCCTGATAGAAGGAATAAAAGATTTGGAGTATTGATGGGGTCTCATCAGAGGTACTTTTTTTTTATCCGATCCTACCAGAGAACACGAGTCTCTTTTGCATACCTCCAACAAACTTACCAGTGCTAAGCAAGATGTTCCTTTCCTTAATGCACAATCCATTAAACCAGCAGATGCAAGAAAATGTTAGACTTTCAATAAATGAATAAGAAGTTGCTTAAAATTCTCTCACCAACTGTTCAGTCCTTTAAATTTGACAAAAGTCAGTCTCTCACAAGTCCCCAGTTTTTAAACGCAATACTAAAAACTGCTGTAATGTCCCTTTAAACATCCAGGCAAACATGAGCAGGTCTGTACGCCATTGTCAAAGCTTTATTTAAGACACAGCTTTAATTGTTGCACATTCAAATTCAGACTTTTCCACCTACTATTTCTCCACCAAACAGTGAATCCTGCCTCATTCAAACAATGTGAGCCATCACAGCTGTGACTGTTTTTACAACTCATGGCTTTACACTGTAACTAAGATATGGGCTCAGTTAGTTCTAATGACCTTCAGGAACACTGGCAAAGCAGCTACTACACCTCCGTTAATCAACAACTGACCTGGGTGCGAGCCAGGAACCTTTTTAAACTGTTTATATTTTTAAAACCATTAGACATACTGAAGGGGAAGGGTGTTTTACAGATGTGCCACCAAGGGGTGACAACAGTGTACTAGCAGAAATGACACAGCATAAGAGGCAACTGCACATTTGGTCCAGCTCACAAAAAAATAAAACAAACAAACAAAAAAAACAACAACTAAGAACTAAGAGTGAGTAAAGCATAAAATCTGTGCTCCATCTTACTCTTCTGTGTATCTGAGGTCACATCAACACAATCTGACTTATGGTGCAGCTTTTAAACTACAGTCGGGCCTGATGACAGCACTGTGCATGAACACAGTCCACAGAGTGTGAACTAGTAGAAGGTTAGGCTGTAACGAGATCAGTTTAACATTCTTTGAACACCTCAGAGAAAATGTGCTCATTCCACAGTTTAATTCAATTTAAATTAGTTTTATTTCTGTGTGAAGCAGAAAGGGCCAAATATTTTCTTATGACACAACATAGTGGAATGTTTCATTTAGATAAAAATAAAGTGTTACATCATGGACCCTCTGGTTAAAATGAATGCCAGGCCTCGGGGGTTCAAGGTCGGCAAGACTGAAACAAGAGCGAAGAAAAGACAACAAAAAAAGATGCTGCTATATACAGACTTAGTCTTCAGAGAAGGAAGTGATATTTTGCTGTTTCCTGGGTGAAAATGTCAAAGACAATGTGGGGGTGTGACCTTTAAACAGTCAAATGTAGTCGGCCAAAAACCATGAGGCTGTTCTGAGCCTTTCTTGGGTATATGCGGTCAGAAGTGCCAGTTGAGTGGCCTGATGTGGGATGGGGTGTGGAGAGAGGGCCGAGGCCACCCCATTTCGATTTCTTACAAGGGTACGTGGCTAAAGAGGTAGGACACTGACTCGCCGTTGTGGGTTCTCCTGATGGCCTCAGCCAGGATCATGGAGATGTCGATGACCTGAAGGAACAACACATTCAGCCAGTGAGGAAAATAAATCAGTAAAACCTAAAAGAGCATACCGTGTTTCCATTAGCTATGTATTTAAACCTCTGATCTAACCAGGTGATGTCATCACTGTTCACTGATTTAAACGTAAGACTGATGATAAACCCTGCAGCCCTCGTCCAGTGTAAAAATACATGGAGTAACTATGAAGTGCCAGCAGTCTGCGGTAGTCAGATCAAGTCAGTATCTTCCAGTTTTAATATCAAAACCCTGCTTTGTGTTACTGTGGATTTTGTCCCCCTTCAGGATCTGTCTGAGCCAGTACAGAGGTCTGTAGTTTTAACTCCTCCAAATGTCTGACAACAAGAATTTGACTTCAGCTTTCTGGCTGCTGAAGACAGGAACTCATCACTGCGACAACGTGACAATGCTTGAATGTGTACCGAGCACACAGTAGGAGCAACACTAAGGTACTTCCTCTTTATAACTTGCAGGTGTCTGAGGCGAAAAGAGTGTCTAAATTTGAGAGGACACGGGCCCGGGGGCAGTCAGGAAGACCGCTGACAGCCTGCGTGGCACATATTCTACAGGCAGAAGGTGAGTGTGTTTGTGTGTGCACCTGTATTTTCGGGCACGCCTTCATCTTCTCTTCTTGTGGGATGGTGTTAGTTACCACCACAGCCTCGAACGGTGCGTTGTTGATGCGAGAGATGGCTGGACCGGAGAAAATGCCGTGTGTGAGGATGGCGTAGACCTTTACTGCTCCAGCATCGATCAGCCTAGAAGGCAAGGAAAAAAGATCCAGCTGAAATACAAAATACTTTTGACTGTGTGCACAGAATGTGCTTTAAAGACTGTTTTCTTTAAATCGATCACAAGTGCTACAAACTTATGTCACAATTAGGGCTGGGCAAGATAACACGCTATTTTCGCATCAACACATTACTTAATTAACGCCGACAATTATTTTATTGTGCTTTAACGCAGTTTTGTTTATTATTTTGAAAGTCCGCTGCTCACTGGCTCTGAATACAGACAGACAAACCATGGGACACGGGAGGGGTAGGATGTGGATCAGTACTGGCTTGGGACAGGCGTCATCATGCATCTCAACCAATGAGAGCGTTTGGGGTAGGCCTAAGACTGCTGCAGCACAAGAAGAATACACGAGTTGTATGAAAAGGAGAAGCGACGGCGTTACAACGTGCACCAACTGTTGCTCTTACTGGAGACTACTGGACATCGCTGGGTAACATAATTACCTCGGAGTTACAACAGTGGGAGCTGTATTCACATGCTCTAACTGGAATGAAAACAGAGGAGAGACATTTTGCTGAAACGTGCGCAGAGTATTTCATTCGTGTTGCACAGCAGTGGAACACTTCAAATAAAGTCAGCACACTTAGCACAGATAGTGCAAGAAATATAATCGCTGCTGCAAGACGTCTGCCTTTTGAACATGTCCCCTGTGTCGCCCGCAGTCTCCATCGTTCTGTCAGTTTCTCTGCAGAACAGTGCGTTTGACAATGTCCTGGCCAAATGCAGAAAAGTTGTGGGCTGCTTTAAACACAGTCCAGCCAGTGCTGCAGAATTAGGATGACAAATTGAACACCTAATTGGCCAGTGCTGCAGGATTAGGATGACAAATTGAACACCTAATTTGTTTTAAGTGTTTACAAACCAAATGTTGTTGCACTTGTGTTAATACAACAGTACTTTTAGAATAAAAAGTGCACAATACACTACCTTTGAATTCATTATTGAATGCTGCTCATATCAATAAAGTTAATCTTGATTAATCACAGAAAACCAAGCAGTTAATGCAATTAAGAATTTTAGTCGTTGCCCAGCACTAGTCACGATATCTCAGTTGATAAAAGCACCTTATCAGTTTCGTGTCAACATGTCAGAGTCAAACACCCTCATGCAGAAGTCAGCACACAATCTCTAACACTTAAGTGACTGTGATCCCATCTCATTCTGACTCTACTGTGTTGTCTGTCCATTGCTGTGGACTAGCATGACACTGACTTGTCGGCAGCGTGGCAGATGGTGCCGCAGGTGTCGGCCATGTCGTCCACCAGGATGGCCACGCGGTCCCTGACGTCGCCCACCAGCACCATGCGGTCCACTTCATTAGCCTTCTTCCTCTCTTTGTGGATGAGGGCAAAGTCCACGTTGAGACGGTCTGCAATGGACGTCACGCTGGACAGAGAAAAGGAAGTGGCCAGCGAGACGTTTGAATAAACCTTTAGCTGTCTGTCACACAAACTGATTTCACAGAATGCAGTCAGATGACTTCCAGATGGCAAGAAAAACCCTGGAGCCTACCGTTTTGCTCCACCAGCATCTGGAGACACGATGATACAGTTTTTCCACTCAGGAATGTTTTCTTTGATCCACTGCAGAACAGCAGGCTCTGCATACAGGTTGTCCACAGCAATGTCGAAAAAACCCTTTAAAAATAAAGATCCAACTGAGCAACATCAGCACAGGACATACAGGTCTGCAGTGAGAATAAAGACTGTGCACCCTGGGTGAGATGAGCATTTAGAATGGAGACAGTAGCAAACAGCTAGCCTAGCTACCAGCACCTCTAAAGCTCACTAATGAACATGCCATGTCCTGTTTGATTAATCTGTTATCTGCAGGATTTAAGTGCATACATCCTTAAACGTCTAACTAGTCCTCTAAGTCAAGGATGAGCCATTTAATAAACTACAGCTTTCAAGGTCTTTCTAAACTTCAGCAGTTAGCGTGGCAGTAACAGCGAGAGCAAGATCTAACCTGGATCTGGGAGGCGTGGAGGTCCATGGTGATGATGTGGTCGGCGCCAGCTACAGACAACATGTTTGCCACCAGCTTGGCTGATATGGGCGCTCGACTCTGCGACAAACAGCAAGACACAGTCGCTTCAGGTGAATAACAAAGAAGAAAATACTGAGCCTTCATTCAACATTCGTTCATGGGGACATTTATTTCCTTCTACACTGTTGTCAGATGGAGTTTGTGTCACCATGAAGTGCTTTTCAACACTAATTTTCATCTCAAGAATTATTCCTTCTCATGTCTGGCCCCTCAGTTCTCTGTATTTGACAGTAGGTGGTTTTTGCCCTCCACATGATTTGTCTTTATTATCTCTGAAGTCAATCAGCAGCCACAGTAACCACATGAATAAAACCACCGCCCTTGTTTCACCCAGTAACATGGTTTAAACTAATGAGTGGGTCCCATATTAATTCAAGTATGGGAATGTTTGGTAGGACTCGTTTCCACTTGTTGGAGATGCAGTATAGATTGACATTTACACATTAGTCACCGTTTTGACTTGTGACTTGTCCAAAGTTCACCTGTGTCCTTTCTATCATGGTATGTCACTCTAAAAATCTCAGCCCTGCTGCCGCCCCTGGCTCATTCACTAACCAAAGGAGTGTGCACTCATACACGTCAGGGCTTGTTGACACAACATGCAGCTACCTGAAATCAGTGGCTGGGCTGTGTTCGTGAGCAAGCAAATGTAGAGTGATGAGATTCAGTTCAGGGTGACTAGACAGTACAGGAGGATAAATGGGAGCTGAGCATTCAGTCTCAAATGCACTAATGAAATGTGTGCAATCAATGAACATTTAAGACACAAGCACAGATTTCTTCCATTTGAAAATCCACATTTTCACATTTATGGCAACTTGACTATGAAATACTTAATGTCACTCTACAGCTTCTGCATCACAAAACCTCCAGTGTTGTGAAATGTGAACTGGACTTCAGTTTGCAAAAGTATTTACACATACATAGAGGACTGCAATCAGCATGTTTGACTAAGTGAAACACTGCCCTGAGGTCAGCATCGATGAAGTAAGTCTAAGTGTTGACACATTACACCTGAGTGAAATCACATATCACTTCAGAAATTACTGAACCCTGTGTAGAGTTTGTGGAGGCAGAATGAAGGAAAGAGGAGCAACAAGAGAGGAGAATAACTTATTAGAAAAGTCCATCTGCAGATGTAAACTAGTTAAAAACCACTTGCTGATGTGGGTTCTTTAACATGAGTTAAGAAAAACAGGCTGCTCAAACCCCTAATCTGTCAATTCCAGATACTCCGAGAACAGCTCAAATTACTGTGGTAGCACATGGTTGCTTTTCCCCTGATGTAAGGTTTCACGTTAACACATGGCTGCACAACGAGTGAACACGACAACCTGCCATGTTGAAGGGGAGTTCAAGGTGCAGCTGCAGCTACTTGTTCTGATACATTCATGATTTCTTGGAAGTTAACATCAGAGAAGAAGCAGAAAAAGAGATATCAGTAAGGCTTTAACCCACAGTGGCTGTAAGAGATGTCTAAGTCATTCCATTTGGTAAGAGGTGTTGCGCAAGTCACAGTCAGTTGTGTGTGTGTGTGTGTGTGTGTGTGTACCTTGTCCTTCTTGTCCTGTCGGGCGTATGGGAAGCAGGGAATGACGGCAGTGACTCGGGACGAGGAGGCGATCTTGCAGGCATTAATCATGATTAGCAGCTCCATCAGGTTGTCATTAATTTCCCCGCAGCCGCTCTGCACAATGTACACGTCCTCGCCTCGCACGCTCTCCCCGATTTCCACACTGTTGGAAACAAACAGGGAAAAGAATAAGTCTTATTACAGGAACACATGAGACTATGGATGAAGTATGAACAAACTAAATCCACAAAAGAAATGCAAGAGGAGTATTGTCATTTCTCAAAACTCCCATTAAAAAAAAAAAAAAA